GTAAACAGTGGGTGTGGGTTTGTTTTGCTGATTTCTTCGAGTCAATTTTCCCGCCAAAAAAAAACTAATTGGCACCCTCACCTGGTTAATTAATTGGATTAAATTTTCCCGCCAAAAAACTTAGTATATGGAGCACTCTAACCTTGAACTTGTGCCCCCCTCCCCTCTCTTCCTGCCCACCTCCCACACTTCTTCCACAAGTCTCACAGTATGTTAGTTACACTTTTCCAACTCTCTGGACTTCTTCGAACATGTAGTCACCAAACTCTACCACCCAAACAGTAATGGTTTATCGAGTGCAATTTTTCTGCCACTTAGACTTAAGAATAATCTCTCGCTCCCCTGGTCGGTCAATGCACTAAGTGTACTCCCCGAGGGATGTCTTTTCGGAGACATTGATGCTTCGACACATCAGTATACCAGTGCAATTGACTGACCAGGAGAGCGAGAGATTATTCTAAAGTCTAAGTGGCGGAAAAACTGCACTCGATGAACCATTACGGTTTGGGTGGTAGAGTGAGAGTAGTGGAAGAAGTGTGGGAGGTGGGCAGGAAGAGAGGGGAGGGGGGACAAGTTCAAGGTTAGAGTGCTCCATATACTAAGTTTTTTGGCGGGAAAATTTAATCCAATTAATTAACCAGGTGAGGGTGCCAATTAGTTTTTTTTGGGCGGGAAAATGGACTTCACAAGGAATCAGTGTGAGATTAATGTGGCCAGCTAAGTTTTTGGGCAGGAGAATTTAAGTGCAAACAATGGTCCAAATCGACAATTTTGGAGCAATTTTCAATCATACGATACGAAGAGGCCGGCTAAGATACTTTTTGGCAAGAGAATTTAAGTGTAAAGGTCCAAAGCGACAATTCTCGGGCAATTTGGCATATTCAACCAAACAAGATGAAAAATTCTTCAATGACACTTAAAATAAATTCAGGATAACAACATGGCATTGAAAGGGCCAACTAGGTTATTAAGTTTTTTGGCAGGAGAATTTAAAAGCGTACAGGTCAAAAGGAACAATTTTTGGGCAATTTGGCATTCCACTATATACGTTACAAAGAGGACAACAACGTCGAATCCATTTAAAGCTCTTCTTGGCAGAAGAATTTCACTCAATCTACGGGTTCACAGAGTTTAACTTTAGAGGTCCAAAGAGACAATTTTTGGGCAATTTGGCATTGACAACTAATAATAATATACCATACAAAGAATTTTTTCAGTGGCCTTTCTCATGGAATTTAAGTCGCTGGCTATGATTAATGTCAAATGGCTCTTCACCTAAAAAAAGGCTTGCCGACCCTCAGAGTAGAATGAACTGGGCAAAAGAGAGAACTGCGAGTGCAAGTGTGTGCATATGGAGTGTTGTCTTGTGTTAATAAGGAAACATACTCACACCTCCCCATCTTCTTTTACACACTCAGGTTGAGATCTGCCAACAAAAGTCTGGTCCTTCATGCTGCTACAGTCCTGTCTCCGGATCATCCACAATGTCATCTTGAAAACAGAGAACAAAAGTCAGTGTATTGAAAGCAACGATTGGCGTCATAAGTTATGTTTACAATGTTGTGCTATGGTCACACCAATTTTATCAAAGATTTTGGCAGAATTTCAATAAAGCAATGCAGTCTAGGCAAAACAATTTTAGTCCTCCTGGCATCCCTTGATACTCCAAGTACTATGCGAGATTTATATTCAATACAGACAAAACTGTCACTGAGGCACTATGTAGGTTATCTTTGTAACATGTCAACCTTTCAAATGTATGTTTGGAAATACAAACTTACCAGTTCAATGTCTTGGTCTTCTTCTGTGCTGTGTCTCAAATGTTCTCTGGGTCTTCAAGTCAACTGGTTTGCTATATTAGCCCTCATTTGGTCTGCATTCGACAGGAGTCGCTGGTCATCACAGGTTTCTCCCAGTCAGGACACACCTACATGTAATAAGGATAATTAGTGTGATGCAAAAACACCTCCCATTCAACACTGAGTGGCCATAAAAGAAATTACACACTTTCCTCAAATACAACAAGCAAGTGGAATTTGCTAAATGCATAATTAAGATTTTTCTCACCTGATATTCTTCTAGGGTCTTCTGGGGTCGCCTGGTCTGGTCTGGTCCAATCTTCTCTTGTCAGGTTCAGACAGGAGTCCCCATTACTGCATCAGTCAGCACTGCTCAGCAGCCACCTAACTATACAGACATTAGAAGTTACACACTTGTCTCAAATAATATAAAATAAAAAGAAGGTTGAATGTAGAATTCAGATTTTTCTCACCTGATATTCCTCTTGGGTCTTCAAATCATCTGGTCTGGTCCAATCCAGTGTCATCAGTTTTAGACAGGAGTCCTCATGCACAACTACATCAGATAGCAGCCACCTACCTATACAGACATTACAAGTTACACACTCATCTCAAATAACACCAATAGCTATACGCAGAATCCAAAATTGGGATTTTTCTCACCTGATATTCCTCTTGTGTCTTCAAATCGTCTGGTCTGGTCTGGTCCAATCTTCTCTTGTCAGGTTCAGACAGGAGCCCTCATGCACAACTACATCAGTCAGCAGCCACCTAACTATACAGACATTACAAGTTACACACTCATCTCAAATAC